CTCAAATCATAAAATTCAGTTCAACAGCAGTATCGCAAAATAATTTTAAAATGAGCATATCTTTAGAACTTTTGATACACAGTCTCGCGCCGCTGGAGATAATTTTTGTTGTTGTTGTTGTTTTTCCCGTACAGTGTTCCCATTGCTCACTTTGAAATCGTTGAGTTTGTTACTAAAAAATTCGTTGAAATGTTACAAAATATGAAATCGGTAATAAAACAAATTTCAAATTAGGACTTCCACATGCCCATATTAGTAGGAGGATTACGTTATTCAAATTTTGACGGCTCTGGGTACCGTTGTTTGTCACAATGCGAGAAACATTTATGCAGATTCTCCATTATTTAATTTCTTTAACTATAATACAATGTGATAATATTTGGTAGCAACAATTTGAAAAGTGAAAGAACGCTTATCGTGAATCGACGCAAAATGCCAAAACGAAATTAATAGTCCTTCTGGGAAAATTGTTCCTTTAGACTAATAAACAAGTACAGTAAAACAATAAAAACAGTAAAAGTAAATAAACCATATAGAGTGTCATTGGTATAAGAATAGTTATGATTTTATGTTGGGGAAATAAGAGGTGCCATTGATAAATAAATAACCATATGTAAAATATTGCAGAGAAATATGATCGTAATGCCATATCAAAAATGTTAAAAAATGCGCATGTCAAAAACTATTATAATAAACTAATGCATGTGTAGTTCTAGTATTAGGACAAAATGTTAAAAAAATGCGCATGTCAAAAACTATTATAATAAACTAATGCATGTGTAGTTCTAGTATTAGGACAAAATGTTAAAAAATGCGCATGTCAAAAACTATTATAATAAACTAATGCATGTGTAGTTCTAGTATTAGGACAAAAAGAGCGTAACTCAAATTGACAGCGGTATGTACTCAAGTGTCTCGTGCTGTTTAATGATGAAGGAAAATTGTTTATTCAAGTAGAGTACATTTCATTGGAACATTTTTTTTTATCTTTCATAACACAAGTTCCATTTTATTATTATTATTATTACTCAGCGCATTGTTTTCTTGTAATACGTATTTTTTATTTAATAAATAATGTTTTTAAAATCGCACTAAAAATGCTATACAAATACCTTTCGTATCAACATTTTTCGCTGAAGGATAAAACGTTCTACATAGTTGCAAGTGTAAGGAAAATCGTTCAAAAGTGGCTATACATTGAATGTTGAGATCAGATTAGATTTGGACTTTGTGTCTTTCCCCCCCCCTCAACATCGCTTCTTTTAGCAGTGACAAACAACATAAAGTTTAACGGAATTCTAAAATGCGGAAGTGTTACTTATTTATTGGCTTTACTTTCATAGCTTTTCTTTTTGATGTAGCATAAATTAGGGTGAACGAATTATCCCATTTTTACTGAATTGAGTATTTATAATGAGTTTTTACATCTTTTTTATACTTTGGGGGGGGGGGTTAGACTTTTGATGAGAAGTTCTTGAATTGATTAAAAATCAAAGTCTGAGGTAAGAAAAGATAAGAAAATAAAGGTTTTCTAGGGAAAAAGGAAATTATCTGTTTAGAAATTCTCTTTTCTGAATTAATTTAATAAATGCATTAGTTTATTCCTTTATTAGATCTAAATATGTCATTTTTTAAGAAATTCGCGCAGAAACTTGTAAGAGTTTCTTACTCTTAATCATTTTTTCAAGAAATTCGCGCAGAACTTGTATAGTTCCTCTTAATCTACTAAAAAAAATGTCGAGGAACCTCGTAAACTGTTAAGCTTAGTTCAAACAACACTAACAATAACTTATCGCTCAGTTCAAATAACAGGAATCGTAAACTCAAAGAGAGTTACCTACACTCAAAATAAGACGAACACTCGGCACTTTCCTTAAAGTGCCAAAGAAAGGGGAAGAAGAACACTTCGGCAGAGTTTTCTGTACAACAAAGCCTGCACTTGGGTTTAAACTCAAAAATAAGAAATAAGAACTAACTATAAGTAATCTAAGAGACTTAACCGAAGCTAACACAAATCTAACGTAATTGGCCCTTAATTTAAACTAGCCAGCGAATATAAAAAAGCATGTACTGTACGGTCGAGCGTAGCAAATTCAAGAGAGACTTAGCCCGAAACAAACTCAGGATTACTGTCTTTCTCGAAGTCCAAGGGACAGTGACCACGTCCACAGTCACTTATCACTTATCACTTTAACCAGGGCTGTGGAGTCGGAGTTGGGTAGATTTTTCGGTAAAAAGAGTGGGAGTCGCTGTCTGTCATTTTCCCTACCGACTCCACAGCCCTGCCTTTAGTGCTACTTCTTCCTCACAGGCATTCAACCCGATTCTAAAAACTCACTCTTGTAGGGAGCTGTAAGTTGAAACGAGGAACGATAGAAAAGCACAATTAAATTAACTATTATAAAATAAACATATACGGTACAAACTAATTAACTGTCATCAAATGCTGTCGTCACTAAAACTGTTAAATTCTCCGAAAGTGACACAACTAATGTTGATTTGTAAACGATATTTAAAAGGTTTGGAATTAGATGTTATTACTTTCGAAAATAGTTACGTTTATCTGTTCTATTAAAACTTCGAAAGATCATACGCAGAATAAGAAGCTGAACGCTTCTGAAACTGAACGCTGAAGCTGAACGCTATGGAGCCCAAATGTGGAAGCTAAAGGCGCTAATGGTGAAGCTTTTCTACCAGCATTTGTGAATTTGGATGTCTTCCAAGTATTTTTTTTGTGATCAAAAAAGAAACGTGTTATTTCCTAAGTAAAGAACAGCGATAAATAATGAAGATTTCTATTTACATTATTCAATTAATTTATTTTTAAATTCTGTGGAAGAAAATCGCTATTATATTGAAATACAAAACGCACTTGCTACGTATTTTGTCGGAAAAGTGGTCTCGGCAAAACTTGATCATTTGCAGTTCGATAAATGCTGAATCCCAAACAGCGGCAAGATGGCGGCTTCTTAATTATTATTGTTATTATTATATCAGTTTGATTTAGCTGTTATTGAAGATAGTCTTCATTTGATAATAAAGTTTAATTAAGTTACCCATAATAAAGATGCAATTGCATTTTAATAGCTATTCTCATTGTTTCTGAAAGCATTTTGCTGGTGATCTTGCTGTACGATTATTTTAAACATATCACATAACTTAATGTTGTCTTGCTGTTAAGAGGCAAGTTTAAAGGCGTCAGCTAATTGTAACTCTTTATTTCCCCAGATGAATAGATATCTTTTCTAGATACAGGTACAGGTTGAAATGTAATAGGGCACCCTATGTTTCAAGTAAGAAAATGGGTATTTCCATATTAACACTTCCTTCACACTATTAGATACAGCTTCCTGCACACTATTAGGTACAGCTAGAAATATGAGAGACGCCAGGATGTACCATGTGTGTCTGTGTGTCATCTGGTAATGTCCATACTAACTAACCCTAAGTCTTTTTTTCGGGGGGGGGCAAGCTTCATAAATGTACAAAGAAACAAGGTACTTAAAATGGTATGCTGGCGCTGGTTATCATAAAGTGCAATCTTTTTGAACATATTAACAGGATGTAAAAGTTCATTAAATTTATGCAGCATGAGGAACTAGGCCTCTAGAAAGACAGTCATTTGAAACTTAGGATACTGATGTTTTAATTAAAAACCTTTAGTGACATCATTTCCGAGGACTACAAAGTGAGGGGGTAAGTTCATTGATAAATAAAGGGTGAATCTTTACATTATGGTAACTTGGCGGTTTTTTGGCGAAAATTTGACGACCAACCCTGCTACAGCAACCTGCTAGTTTTTTTTGTTTTGGACGCCCTTCTGTTTTCACAAAGTAAAGGCTTTTTTTTTTTTTTTTTTACTCAACATTTTTCCCAACAATCTGCTAGCCGAATTACGCTTATGCTAGAACTTTTATGGAACAAAAGTGCTTAATCATGAGAAGATGCGAAATTGGGAGGAAAGTGTAGAATCGCCCACTGCTTGCTGCGTTTTTAAGAATTGCATATACACGATATCTATGTACACATCAACCTATTATAACTTAAAAAAAACATCCCAGAATTGCACAAAAATGGCATTGTGCACACTCTTGACTTTATCCATGTACACATTGACCTATTTTCACTTAAAAAATTAAAAAAAAAAAAAATTACAAAAATCCAATTCTTCTTACTCTTGTAAAAGCACCAAACAAATAAGTGGGCGATTCTGCACTTTAGCAGCGAAATTGTTTCTAAGTGCTTTTTAGCTAAAATCCTGTTTGGAATTTTCCGGAAAATGTCACATGACATGTCTCATGATCTCTCATTTCTCTGAGACAAAATAATCTGTGATTTGATCTGTGTACTTCTCAGATTATTTCTAAAGTTCTAGCTAGTAACCTTTATCGCCTTACCAAAATGTCGCCAAACAACCTGTTTACCATATTCTAAAGATTAGCCAAATAAAGGTCCAGCCATTTAACATTATCGGTAAAAAGCTGTTATTGCACTGAAAGTATTGCAGAAAATTAGACAGTGTGATCGATTATGGCAAAGCACGTGAGGGATATTTACTTAAGAGAGAAATACCTTTTGAGCAACTAGGTGATTTTGGGGTTATAGAGTAGAATGCCTTTCGACTGCCTGCAACGTGTTGAGCATCAAAAATCTCGAAAATGCCTAGGCAGCTAGCTCGTTCTCCGACCTGTTAAGAAGGGGAAAAAGAGTACCTTTAGATAGAATGCCCAATTGTGAGATGATATATTCCATGAATAATCGATAAGTATGAGATAAAGATCAAAAGAGAAAAAAAAAATATGTTCAAACATCCTAATAATTCTATACAAGCATTAAGAATAGAAATTATTTAGTAAGCTGATTAACTTAGATTTATGATGCAGTTAATCCCCATTTAAACATTTTAAGTCTCGTATTTTATTTTATCTAATTTAGTAATTATTTTTTTCATGGTGATATTGATTGTTTATGCATAAAACATTTGTATTTTTTCTTTATAGATTACGCAACTTAAGATAGACAACAATCCATTTGCCAAAGGATTCAGGGATACTGGAGCTGGAAAGCGGGAGAAAAAGTAAATTACTTTTCTTTTTCAATTATGGAAATTAATTTCCTTATTACAGCACGATTGATAGTAATAATTGAATGATAGGTAATGACAGATTCATTTTTTAATTACTTCTGGGCTATCACGGTTGGATACAAAGTGACATGATACATAGGTTCAAAAATACGTTTCATTTCGCGGAAATAGTTTGGATATCTCACCTTACACCATTTTGAATCGTTGAGTGTTAGCATAAAATCCAATTTTAAGGATTCTTGATATCCGAAATTTCAGTGATCTGCATTCCTTATTTTTCTGCCTACGCTGTCTTAAATGACGTTAGTTGTTAATTTATTTACATTTCGTTTTAAATTCTTTTATTCACTTATACGCTAAAAAAGTCAATACAGTGTCTTGAAAAATCTGCTGAGTTCATTTAAACGAGCACAGTTCATTCATCAAGTAGATTTGCTTACATTGTTTACTAATACTTATTTCTACAGGGTTGTTAACAAGTAAGAGTGCCCAAAAAAAGTCTTGAAGACGCAACACTAAAAAATATTGATTTAAGTTTATGGTGCTACTTTGGTAGACGGTTGCACGGATTTTGGCGATTTTTTTTTTTTTTTTTTTTTTTTTGGCAAGCGATACAACTTATGGTAAACCCATTACTGGACAAGTTATTTATAGTAACCGATACTTTGTTGTCATTTTATTTAAAAAAAAATGTTTTTAATTATGCATAAATTCCGTGTTTTAAATATTATTTATGACTTCTAAATATAATAAAAATGAATTTAATTTTGCATTTTTTATTTAAATAAAAATTTTATTGTTTATAATATTTTATGGAATTTTATGTTGTGAACGATGTAATGAATGACGTCACATTATTTTAAAAGTAATTAGGTTTTAATATCTATAAATTTAATCTAATGTTTTAAACATTACTTTATGGCTGTTAAATGTTAAAATACAATTTAATTTTGCAATTTTTTAAATATGATTTTATTATAAGTGATTATTTAAATAATTTTAATTCTGTGCGTGATGTAATCAGCTCCCTGATTGGTTACTGAAATTTTGTGCATTACCGCGCCATTTTAAAATTTTATTATTCATATCTTCGAATTCCTCAGATTTCAAAGCGAATGGATGTCTCCGTTTCGAAGATAAAAATGTTGGTATTGGTAATTGCCAAGAATTATTGGTATCGGCATAAAAAAATTGCCGTTTGAGACCTTATTTTGGCCAACCTGGATTTCCTAATCAAAGATTTATTTATTGTTACAAGGGTCAGAGGAAAATTATTAAAAATTTTTGGAGGAAACCTCGCTGATTGCTTCTTCAATGAAGTGCGAGAGATGAGGATAACAGATGAAGATCTTTTTTTTTTTTTTTTCTGGTACTTATCAATATACTTAAGATAAAATGCTTAAAAAAAATGCAAGTACATATTTTTCTTTTACTTTATTATTGTATACTTCAATTTTTATTAAAAAATTAATACACTTTTTTCAAAAATTCCTGAGATATTTATTGCCACATATGTTTTAATGTTAAATAATTATATCCTATAAAACTTATTTTAAAGGATTTGAATTTAAGTAATTGAAAACTTTAATTCTTTTAAACGTTGGTTAACGTTTTTAATTCAATATTCAATTTAAGTAATATTTTATTCCAATTAAATGTTGGCGCAATGTTTTTATAGAGGTGTTTTTATTCTATTATATGAAAGTAATAATTTAACCTTACTTTAGCATTTTATACTCTTAGTATATGTATTTACACTCATGTCCATAAATTAAGGATAATGCAAACTCAAGCAAAGAAAGGGTTAGAAGCAAAACAAATTTGACTTATTTGTAAAGCTTATTTATTAAACAAAATGTAAAGAGCAAAAAAAGATGCTACATGTTTGATATTATTAAAAAATAGCGATTTTTTCTCCCTGGAGCAAATTCCAAGGAAAAAACCTATTTACAAAAAACCAATATTACATGGCTGGTATAATTCTTAATACATTGTTTGTCTCCCAGACGATGCAATAGAGTCCGTACAACGTCTAGGCATGCTGAGTATCAAATTATCGATCTGATCTTGGGGGATATTACACCACTCAAAAAGCAATGCTCTCCGAAGTTCTGGTAGACATGTAGGAGGAGGTTGACGGGCTGCAACTCGTCGGCCAAGCATGTCCCACTCGTGCTCTACTAGATTCAAGTCAGGTCAGAATGCTGGCCAGTCCATACGGCTGATATCCTCAGATTGAAGGCATTCGCTTACCATGTTTGCACGGTGAAGACGGGCGTTGTCATCCATAAACACAAATTGTGCGCCCATCGCGCCCCGAAACAAACGTACATGTTCTTCCAGAATGACGTCCCGATAGATTTGCCTTGTCATGGTTCCAATTTGAACCTGCAGGTCATTTCTGGAACCCAGAATAATTCCACCGCAAACGAGCACTCCTGAACCACCGTAACGGTGTCGTTCAATGACGTTTTCTTGGTGGTAACGGGTACCTGAAGCTCTCCATATGAAAGTCCGGCGAGAATCAGACTGCAAGCTAAACCTGGGCTCGTCGGAAAACATCACACAAGCCCACTGTTGCGGTGTCCACAATGCATGCTCTCTACTCCAGGCTAACCGCAGGCGACAGTTAGTTGCAGTAAGTGGAAAGCATCTGACAGGTCTACGAGCATATAGACCAATCTGATCTAAGCGTCTGTACACGGTCTGCCTTGAAATTGTCGTACCAGTGGCTGAAGAGAGCTGAGGAGGCAGGTCTGAGGCTGTGCTCCGCCTGTTTCTTTTGGCGGTAACTGCCAAATACCGGTCCTCATTCGGCGTTGTAACTCTGGGGCGACCTGTGCTGTAACGTCTACTCACATTACCATCATCTTGGAATCGTTGCCAAAGCCTGGAGATGACACTCTGGGCATTTTCAAGTTCGCCTGGTACTTCCAGTTGGGTACGCCTACATTCCAGACGGCCGATAATTCTACCACGTAAAAAATCCTCCAAATGCGTCCTTTGTGTCATAACTATTCGGTTATTGCACTGAAAAGCTTATAAAGCGCCTGCGAACAATTTCAGTTCTTTGCCTGTATTCCTTATATATCACTCTCTTACACTCTCGTCATTGTGACGTATCGATGTCATCTGGTTACTTCCTGAAATTTGCATATGATTCTTGAAGATGTGTGTAGTGATTTTACAGGTGATATATTTATTTTAGAGTTCGATTTCCGAGTGACTCCGAATTATTCTTAATTTATGGACATGAGTGTATTTACATTTGCCAGCCATCTTAAAAAAATAACGTTTTCAACAAAAAATTAATCCATTATTTTTAACGATATTTATTTTTTTAAAGTTTCGAATACTTTACTGTGCGTGAAATATGTAAAAACAGCACTTTTCAAGATGGCTGACGACTGTAAAAATCGCGCCAAGAATTGCGCCAATGTAAATCGCCAAAAATCCGTGCAACCGTCTACCAAAGTAGTACCAAGTTTATACCTAATCATTGCAAGGACTCAATATGAATGCCATCGGAGACCCGGCAGTTACAAATTCGGTGCTCAAGCTCTGCCTAAACACGTCCTAGCTTAGCGTTGGGGATCTTGGTGTCCTAGAGCAGGCCTAGCAAATCATATTTCTATGATCCACTGACCCGATAAAGTGGCATTCAAATAAAAACAAAATTCAAATGTAAATATGAAGGGGGCACCATTCAATTAAAAATCTACTTAGGAAAAGACCTTACTCCAACTGAGATATAACGCCGTAACGCCATTCTTTTGTACAGATGTAGCCAGTAAGCGAAGAATCTCAGCCAGTAAGCCAGTATCTCAGCGAAGAAGAAGAAGGGATCTTAATCTCTGTGTTTGCTCATTCCATAAAGCGTGTTCGTTTCTAGCGAATATCTGCTATGCTGGGCAGTAGGAAAGGGCAAAAGCCGACCGGGAGCATAATGTGGCCCTTTAATTGCTTTATCCGGCCCGTTATGAAATTCTAGGCAATGAAAATTTCATAATTTCATCGTTTTCTTAGCCCATTTTGTATGCAAACTATAGAATGCGAATGCGAATGTATTGATACAGTATATACTTGCGCTAATATAATATACTGTTATGGATTTGGTATTTAAATAACTAATGTTAGTAGAATTATAAATTAAATTGTTTTATTCCCCTTGCAGTGCAGCGCATGACGGATATGAAGAGAAAGCTAAGCCGGAAAATTAAAAATACAAAAGCTCGTTCATTTAACATTTAATAAATAAATATCTCTTTCTGATTTCGAGAAATTGCAAGAATAATCTCGTGTATTTAAAAAGCTTATATACGCTGCATGAAAACCTCTGAATTTTTGAATTAATTTGTTAGTTGTTTTATGAGGTTTGTTTAGAAAACTGCTGTTGTGAATTCGCGTTGAAATCGAATTAGCTTTATTTTGAATTAGTTCTGTTGAACGTTTTTAGTAGTTTAAAAGATAACTACTGTGAGATATTGTACGAATGGCTGAGAAAATTTAAGCATTTTGTTTTATTTTGTGATAATAATAAATTTTATTCATTTTCCATCGGACTTGTGCATTCAGTTGATAACGAACCCGTACGCACCTAACAATACGCATTACTATACTAGAGGTCAACTTAAGATGAGAATATTAGGTATGTTGTGAAGCATGTGCAACTCCCGAAGTATATAATTGCATCATTTCTAGTAGTTTTAATTTAGAAATTGCACAATAAATATGAATATTGTTGACGACAAAAAAAAAGACATTTAAAAAAAGGCAACTTATTGCACTTTAACCTAAATTTAAACCTAAACAGAATTTTTAACCTAAATATGTATCTCAAAATGAAGCAAAAGAACATTCGACGTTTCGCATCTTACGTTGAGTCTGATATTAATTAATAAAAGTGTTTTTACACAGTATGGTTAAAAATTAAAAATGTATACAAAACTATAAATTTATAAAATTAATAAAAAAATTATAAAAATGTTTGA